ATATTGTTTGGCTTCTTGGCTTGTAACTTTTTTCAGGTGTGGATGTACTTCAGGTAGTTCCCCTTGTTTCTCTTTTTATAACGCTGTTTTGTAACTTAGCCTCTATTCCAGAAGAGAGAAGGAAACTAGCCAGCTTCAAGCAAAGGTGTTGTTTATGCAATTTTGCATTGAAATTGAGCATATGTGCTTTGGAGAAATTGTTCTTGTGAGTTACTGTGGGAAATACTCAACTTATTTGCGAAGGTTTGCCAGAGAGAATCCAGATCACATTCTGGAGTGGATCAAGGGGTCCTTAAAGCAGACTTGAAGAACGGTCCTCCACTGAGCAGTGAAATTTGGTGACCTAGGTTGTTTTGTGTTCACATGTATGGGAGAGGTGATGTTCTGGATAATCCTTTGTCACTGGTAATCCATTGACGTTTATTTGTAGTGAGTTCTGATTTCTCACATCACTTGATGGCATCACTTGTAAAGTCAGCATTGAATGAACTTTAGAAGAATAAGGTACTCTTGTGCCTGGTGCTATTGGTGAATTTGTGTATATATGTTGATATGTATGCATGTACATATGCACATCAGGGAATCAAGAGGACAATAGTCTGCAATACTGTAGCTCTTCACAGTTTAAGAAACAATTTGCAATAGTGTTCTGGAATTCTAAGATAAAGCTGTTAGGGGTCTGGGTCAACTTTTTCACTTTTTGTTTATGACTATAGCTAAACTCTTATGTGTGTTCTGGATAACTTGTTAAAGAAGGTGTTTTAAATAAGGACATTAGGTGATAACTTTGTTTTTTAGCTCTAGCTGAAAAAGGTTAGACAACAAGTTAAATTTTTACTACGTGATAGACTAGTCAAAATACTCCATCTCCTACACTTGAATGTATCTGCTTAGTAGATGAGTTTAAATGCCGTATGCTAGATTATTTAAAGAAGATATCAAGTTTATATGAATAGAAAAATATTTGTTCTGGGTTTCAGAGATCCAAATAAGTATGGGGTCAAAAAAAAATCGAGGTTTATCTTTTTAAAATATCTGACAGGCAGGTGGCTAGATTTGCTCTTCTGAAATTGCAACTGTTTGTGCATCCAAGTTACATCCCATTCAGCATTGAGAGCTCAGATCTGCACCTGTTTCTCGTTTATTTCTCTCAAATAAATGAAATGATGGCTTAGGCTCAGCCAGATGGGTATTTCTGAAGTAAAATATTTTGAGTAAAACTTTGCTTTGGAATTTTACTAGTGGGCATCAACATTTTTCTCTTCACACCCCTTTCCCTGAGTTTTGATAACTCTTGCTATGCTATTGCCAGAGACAAGTGATCTGAATAGTGAAAGGAAAATAACTACTTGCTGCTTCTGAAAGAGGGAATGTTATTCATAGTTTTGCTTCATGTTATGGAATAAAAAACACTTAAATATTGTCAAATTGCTTCTCTGTATGATGTAACCACAGTATATTAAGCGGTTGTACTCCACATTTGTGGATGACATTCTTTGTAATGTTTTAGCTTAAATGAAGTCTAGTCCTTTTGTTTCATAATGAATTTAGTGTGGGTTTTGTTTTTTTTTTTGTTACAGTGGGGTGTTATTTAAGGGTAAGAGTACTTCAGAGGTAACTCCTACTTCAGAAGTACTGCTACTTCAGAAGTAAAATATTTAATTGCATTAATCAGTGCTTTTGTATATGCATAACAATTACATCTTATTGAGTATAAGTACTTCAATTCTACTGAAGTAAAACTTGGAAACAAAATATTGACATCTAGCCCAAGTTCCAAAGTCTGTACTGTCAGAAATCTGCCCTATCGTCACTACCTTCATCTGACTGCCATATTACTATACACATGCATAATAAATTTACAGTACATTGTTTCAAGAAGGTATAAAGCGTATGTACCTCTACACAACAGGACCTTTGCTTTATTCTAATATCAAAGAGAAGTAGTCTGGTGATGTATATTGATAATATGCCAATTTTTAAGGTCTAGGATTTTTGTTATGGGTAGATTTGTCACACTACTAATTGAAGTTGTGAAGCATGTAAATATCAATAGGAAGTTGAACAAAGTTCCTGGAAATATTTTTATGTGAATATGTTCTTTGTTTCGCAGATAATTAAATTTTAATGAAGGCATGCATCATTACTAGAAAAGAACTGTATCCATAAGCCTAATATTTCACACAGAGGCATAAGAATTGAGGATTTCTACTGCATAGAAAGAATAAACAAAACATATTTTTGTAATGTTATATTCATGAATGAGAATGATGATTTATTCTGACCTTTCGTGTTGGATCTTCTCAAAGGACGATATTGTATCTGACAGTCCTCTCTTTTTTTCAAAGTATATGAGTAGTTCTTATATATATTTCACTACTGTTATGTTTTTAGTCTTATACTTCCTAAAGTATAAGACTAAAGTCTGGACTAAGAACAGTATTGTTTTAGTTTGGTTTTGATTCCACAACAATTATAAAAATATTAACAATTAAATTAATGTTCTATCAAAAGAATTAAAAAAACTAGAATGTAAATAACAATGTAAAACAGAATGTAGATATGACTTTCATAAGTCTGAGGAGGCTCTCACAAACTCTTGCAAAAGTTGTTAAAGATTTTGAAGGCTAATCTAGAATACTATTAACTATTTGTATTGTCTAGTAGTCTAGGAATCCTCAATGTGAAACTGGATAAAAAGAGAGCCTCCCAAAGTGCTTTTAATTGCGCTAGTAAATAACTGACTGCAGCTGGATGCACACAGATATACAAGGAGAAAAGTTATGTGTAGCAGTCATAACAATAGTTCAGCCCAGGAAGCTTTAAAGAAGGGGTTTAAAGGAGGAAAATAACTTGTATGGAAAGCTTATTCAAGCTGTGGTAGGTAATCTTAAGATTCTTATTAGGCAAGTCTAACATAGCCTCTGATTTTAGTTTATTCACCTATTGAGAAGTTGCAGTTGACCTTTCCTACTGATTGTGAGATAATAGGGTGGCTGTTAAGGACTGTGAAGTTGAAGATAAGCAACTCAAGTTTGATGCGGAAGAGAAGAGGGAGCCAGTGAAAGAATAATGGGAAAATGGTGACCTAGCCAGTGTTCATAAGGATTCTGGGTATCAGTAGAGCAAAACTGCATTTGCTAAAATTAGAGGAATGTTGCACCAAAAAAAAAGTGCAAGATGGAAGGAGGGTAGCTGAGTGGTTTTTTTTTTTTTTTTTCCAACTGAATGGAGAGATGGGAAAGATGTTATCCTTGGTGTGTTTGTATCACATTCATAGTTGGGTGATGCATTAATTTACGAGCTTGACTTTGCACTGAAATTGTGTTGTATCTCTCAGGAGAAGTTTAATTTGCTCTTCCTTATTAACTACGAGCATTTTGCTACTACCTCTCAGTCTTGAAAATTTCATTATGTCCAAAGCAGAATCTCAGCACTTCTTTCTCTACTACCAACCGGACTTCATCTTAAAGGTAGATTACAGGTTACCGGGAGAGCTCACTCTGCTCTGACACTTGCTTAGAGGGAGCCCTCCTCTGTACATTTAGAGCTATTGGAGGAAGGGGGAAAAGAAAAGGTCAAAGCTTTTAACTACATAGGTGATTTTTGGGACCATAGAGTTGTACCCAGGTGACAGGCTAACTAATCATCAGTCTGGAAGACTTACAGTTGGGGGGTGAGATTCTGGAAAGAGGTTCAAGTTACAGGTGGTGGTCAAGATAAAGACCTGAGTGACAGAATGAGATTTCTGGTTTGGATAGAAAGAGAGAATTCTAGATGAAGTAGCTTAACCTATGAAGGTGGTAATTGAATTTGAAGGCTGAGATGTGGAAGGAAAAAGGAAACCACTAACAAAACTCTGAGGCATCTCTGTAGAAAACTGGGCAGAGAATGAAGAAAATCTACTAGAAGAAATGCTGAAGGAGTGAATTGATAAGTAATGCGAGGATGTTGTAGGAACTGATAAAAGACAGGATTTCATGAAGAAGTAAACTGTGTCTTACAATGGGAAGGCCAAGGAGGTTGAAGGTAGAGTATTGTTTTTTCTGTGAATTTAGGGGATCATTAGAAATTTTGGCAAGAACTTTTTTCATTGTAAAAGGTGCGTTACTGTTTATTTTGTTTTTTGGATGAAATGAAGAAACTTCAGGAAGCAGTTGTATGTAGTGTGTTCTTTGACCTTGGAAATGGAAAGGAGAAAGGAAATAGAATAGGAGACCCGGAGATGTATGAGACACGAATGTTTTGATACAATTTCCTTTTTCTATACTTAAAAATAAACAAAATTATAAGAAAAAATTCACAGGCTAATAAAGTTGCTTTTTTCAGTTTCAAGACTTTGACTTTCCGTTGGCTAACGATCTAAATGTGCCAAAATGGAAGTAGACATAAGATGATATAAAAATTAGCTGTTCCATATGTGCCTAATAGATTTCAATGTATATGTGACCGTTGCCATAAGGAATCTTGATTAAAATTTTGCACTTAAATAATTTTGGACTTTCCCTTGTAGCAGAGAGAAACTAGTTGCTTCAAAGAACGTACATCAGATATATGTACGTACACAAAGTTTTGTTCATTATTTCATTGTTTCTAAATTATGCTTTAAATGGAGGGAAAACAATTGTGGATAAGAATCCAATAGTTCAGTCTGAAAAACCCATTTAGATTAATCTGACTATCTGATTGTGCTTGTAACTATAAAAGGGAATTCTTTAGTAGTTAAGATGTGAAGTTGATTTGTTTTTCTTGTATGGTATTTTCAAAATTCCTTTTCTCTGAAGCATCTGAAAAATAACAGCATAAGAAAAGACCTGCCAAGAATTGATGTTAAGTATCCATTGTTTCTGGTTATGTTTTGCATAGTTATTTGTTGTGGTATGTACCTGTTGTTTTAACATTGTTTTAATGCTTTGTTTGTTTAATTTGTGTGCAACAATATTAAACCTGAAGGGAGAAGCTTATTTCACAAAGATAATCTGGCAAATATATTTTTGCAGGTACCTTCTGATATATAATCCTATGGAACAAGAGCGATTTTCAGTGGTTTCAGTCAATGTGAATTCACCCAGAGTTAAATTATTATCTCCTTTGGGAAAACCTGTTGCTGTCCAGATTAGTGCCGTTTGGGATGGAGCAAATACAGTGTCACATGAAGCATATCAGGTATGCTACTTTAAGTAAAAAGCAATAAAGTATTTTTATTTGAGAGGTACTGTAGCTTCACATTAGAACAAAATGATATTGTAATGAAAAGTACACATGAAATATTGGCAGTTCAGTCTTCTGTAGATAATGTCACTAATTCAGTCATTTTAAGAATAAAAGAAACATATGTATTTAGCATAAATTTAAAAAGTTTCTTAAAGTGATTAGTTATTAAATTTCCATAATATGGTGTATTATAGTGAAAGGGTCACTTATAGCTGCATGAGAAGGAAATGTTGAATGTGTCTTTTTTCCTAAAACTGCAGTTCTAAAACTATTTTTCCCTTCAAGTGGTTATCCGTATGCACAGTCACACGGTTTATATGTGCTCAAGCGCTCCAGCTGGAAGACTTCTTAAGTCTTTAGATATGATGGCTTAAGCAGTTAGTTTCTGAATTTTTGTTTTACATATAGGGAGGCTGGTTGTACTCAAGCTCAACAGATGGCTTTGATTCCACCTCTTATTTCTGATTCTAAACAATGTTTCTGAGAATTTTTGAATTATACCTCATCACAGAAGATTATCCCCAATTATCGCACATCAGAAACTGTGGGGTTTTTTTAATTTTTTAATTCTTAGCATTATAAAAATACCGCACAGATCTCTGTTCTTCTGGTCTTACACTCTTAGTCTTACTCTTTTTGACTTGGGAGCCAAGTTGAGTTTGTTTCAGGATCATATGCCTGTAAAGGTTATTCAGTTAATATTTCTCAGCCTTCCTCCAAAGGGGTAATTATTGATAATTAACATTGTGTGGGAATTGCAGAGGCTGTAGAAGAAAGAGAAAGAAAATTACATATCTATAACTCCATGCTAAGCAGTTTTCCCTTGGAGATCTACCTACTGTATTAACTCTTCTGTGAAAATTGTTTTATAGCTTCTAAATAAGCAGAAACTAAAAGTGAGACAATTTCCTTATGTATTCCTGTTTAAATTTGTGGATTTTTTTTTTAAGTGGTCTGCAGTGTTCCCCACGTGCTACACATGCATAGCAAGTGTGCTTACAGCTGCTAGCTGCAGGTAGCATTCTTTAAGAAGACTGAAAACTGTTACTGCATTAATATGACAGTGATCATGATTCTAATCAAATTGATTTTTTTTATTTGCTAATTTTTCTTCACATGCTTCAGCTATTAATTTTGGAATTTTGTTTATAATTTTGTACTCATTTGTTTATGGGAAATGGGAGAAATTCAACTGTTCTATAATTGTGGAAGCGAAAGGAGTTACATTGAGCATGAATCTGGTGCAACAAGTTGATGATTTTCAATTTTTTAATAAAGGATGCTGCTTTACTTCCAACAGATCTCTTTCTTGGCACATCTACCACCTTTGGGGCTTGGAGTTTACCAGCTTTTGGAGATTCAGAGTTCAGAAACAGATTTGGCTGATTATACTATATATATGAGTGGAAGGAATAATATGCAGGTGAAGCCAGACAGGATTTTCACAATAAAAGAGATGCAGAATTCTGTGGATAATATAATTTTAGAGAACGCTTATATGAAACTGTGGTTCTCTGGAATGTCTGGACTACTGGAGGTATGTTGCCTTATAGTTTGAAACACTTGCTTTTTACTTTCTTAGGAACTTTTGCTCTTGTTCATGGAAACCCAAGTGTAGTGAGCCATGTCAAATGTGATTCTCTGTCCTTAGAAAATAAATACAAAAGAAGATGGTAAAAACCATCAAATGAAGGTGGAGTTTGCATGGTACGGAACTACAAGTAACCGGGATAAGAGCGGCGCTTATCTCTTCTTGCCTGATGGAGATGCCAAGGTACATCTTTTCTTTGCACAGATATTCTAATCTTGAGCTAGCTTGAAGCACTCTGCAAATACAGCTTGGAAGAACTAGTTTTCTCCAACACTGAAATGCAGCTGGAAATAATGATGTCAGTTATTGAAATGATTGGCAGAACTTCATATGTCATAATCCTAGATTTGGATAAAAATACAATATTAATTTGAAAGTGCAAATGTATAAAGAATATTAATGATTCAACAAAGAATTTAAGATAGATGCTGCCCTTGCAAGAAATGCACCGAGATGTGACCATTTGCTATCATTAAAACAAGTCAAATTTCACTTCATATGGGAAAAATGTCTAGGAGATACGTATTCATTTCTACTTCTCTTTACTTTTCTGACTCTTAAGAGCTCTTTATTTTGAATGAAATGTTTCCAACTTCAGGGTATAGTACTTTTTAGCTGGAAAAAGTATATGTTGTTTAATATAGTAGTTAAGATATTGGATCCCAATTGATGAATGTATGCGCTGAGTACCAAGCAATTGTTTCTAATGTAGTTCTCTAGCATGGCCAGTATTTTCAGCAGAGTAATTGTTGGAGTGAGGCCGCATATTTCTGTTAATTTTCAGATTGGAAATTCAGAAATGACAGTGTTCTTATCTTGCTTTTATTACCAAGAAGAATCTACTGTACCATTTTTGAAACCAAAAAGCTAGCATTTCGGAGAGGGAGTGATGGAATAATAAACAATTTTAAGAAGCTAGCTAGTGTGCAGTGTATTTCTTCTGCCCATTTTCTCTGTGAGAACTTAAGGTGCATATATAAGGCAAACAGAATTCTTTATGGCTGCTCCAGGAAATAAAGCAGAATGGTTGAACTTACTTATGTTACTTAGTTATGTGTGTAAATCGGTCTAGAAGTGGACAGAAGCATTTTCTTTCCTTTTAGAAGTCTCTCCTAGAAACATGCTTTTTGAAATCTGTCAGTTGTCTGCTTTAGACCCTGTTGGGTATTTAGCCCATAATTAATATTTTTGCATCAGTTGTGTTCATCAGGGCTCACTTTATTCATAATTTTTAAATGCTAGGGTTATATTTGATCTGTGAATACCCGGACAATATTTCCCTCCCCTCCCTGCCACCTTTCATCATGTTCAAACATTATTATTAACATTCCTACATGTTCAAACTTTATTGGTTTTATTTTAGATACTACTTAATCTTCTGCTTAGAAAAGCAAAAACCAGTAAATCTAACAGTTTTATGTAGTTTTCACTGCACTTCTGAATTACTTGTTTTATAAAAATAATCTGGAGAAATCTATACAGAAAAATGGTTTTGATATGAAGAAAAAAGCGTGTCGCATGACTGCAAGCACAGTTAAAAGTAAGATGCATACTGAACTTTTAAAAACATAATATGTTGAAATTACAAGTACATTTTTAGTTAATGTTAAGCTTTTAAGGGCAGTATGTTCAAATTTTGTAACTTTATGCAATAAGAATGAAATCACAATACTCTTAAAAATTCTACTTCCTTAATTTACCCTAAGGCTCGCTTGGCTTGCATTTTAATAACATTAATTAAAGTGTCTCACTGGGAATAACAATGCAATTCTCTAGTAGTTTTAAAACACTTTCAACTAATGGTTTCTGTCTTTAGGGAGAGGGGGGGGGGAAAAAAAAGGGGCCCTCTGTTCAGGGTTCTCAGTGTGAGATGGGTTGACTATGCTTTCAAAGTCCTTTCAGGAAATGGCAGTAGAATAGAGTACAGGCAGGAGGTTCCCCTTCCCCCTGTTTTTTCCCTTACCCCCCCCTTATCACCCCTTGTATCTCTGCCAAACTTGCCAAGTATTATGTTTGTTAGGCCATTTTCTTCTGGTATCAATGAATTTGCATGCTTTCTTTGCCTTTATTGCCCAGTTATTTTGTTGTCTGATAGTCTTTTGGTTCCTCTCTTTTCAGTTCTATAGTACTCAGGAATCATTTTTCTTCATCTAGTATAGTAATCTGTCTTCCTATTGTACTTTTGTAGACTTTCTGCTCTTAGGGTCTACAGCCAGTTTTTAGAAATTTTGAGCTGTAACTTGCTAGGTTTGCAGCCCATCAGTTAAAGTCATGTCATTTTAGAAGATTTGATACATATAGTGCAGCTTGGTCATCAGTAGGCTGTTATGGATGTCAGGTTTCATGTGAATGATGATCCATATGCTGGGATGTATGCAACTCTGAATCTTCCAAGAGATCCCTTGGATTAATCGTCTTTAAGGCTGACCTAAAGCCAGCCTGGACTATTGCAAGAGGTGCATCCTAGCTAAGAAGCGGTAAACTATTGGTGCCAGCACCCCGTTTGCTAGCAGCAAGCCAAAGAAAAAGATAATGATATCTTTCTACATTTTTTTTATTGGCAAGATTGGGATGTTCTCCTGTCCAAAACGACTGAGACTACACATTTAGAGTATCCCACTGTATCAGTCTTCAAATCTTTTGCCTCAGAAGGACAGAAGACCCTCATTCAAGCGTTCAAGCATTTGGTGCTCCCTCTGGTTTTGCATTCCTGATAAAAGGAGAAGATAAGCATGCAGACACCTTTACCTGAAGCATGTTCACAATACTTAAGAATTAGCTGTCTTTGAAGTGGCTCTTAATTTCCTTGGTGCTATCTATTTCCCTGAAGCATTGCATCTACCGTCAAAGATCTGCCGCACATTTGTTTCTGGAGGCAAACGTATTAGAGTGACTATTGTCTCTCTTTTGCCATGTTCTCAAAACACAGTTCTCCAGAGACCGTGCATTTGATCTTTCCCAAACCCTAGCCTAATCTCAAACTCTGCCAAATGAAGGGTAATCTGTTATTGAGAGGCAAGTTAGCTTGAAGAGTGTCTTGAGTTCTTTGTTTAAACCACAAACATCTCAGGAGCAATCCAGTCTGTTGGAAGATTCTCCTTTGGACATAGTTTATTTGGCTTCCACTCCAACAGTGTACTGCGCTGCCAAAAATTTCTAGGCCGCACTAAAAAGGTTAGTAGTGCTTCAGTTGACTACAAGGGGAAGGACGACTTATTGGCCAGGCTTCATGCCTTCAAGCCACAATACACCATGTCAGCTTCTATGCAAGCCAGTAAACCTTCAAGTGCAGGCAACTCTCCAATCATCTCAGCCTTTTGGCACCTCAGCACCCCTTTTAGTGCCAAGTCAAGTGTTTTTACATACCCTAGGGAGCTATAGAGTACTATTTTGCTCCCAGTAGTCTCCCGTAATGTTTCTAGCTTGACGCTTCCCCACCACTTCCAAGGGACAGATGGTCTTGTTTTTCAGTAGTCACTCACATTTAAGAAAAGTAAGTTCTGAAGCCTATGACCCATAGTTCTATTATCCAGTTTCTGGAAATACTGCTTTTCAGTCTTAACAAAACCTGCTATGGTGGGCTACTGAATCTTGGTACATTAAAACTGATTCTAGTGAAGCTGAGGGGGACAGATTTCACAGCAACTATTTGTTTAATTATTGAAGAAGTGAAGCCTTGGAACTACCACTGGATATCAAATCCAAATATTTTTATTCTGAATTCAAGATTGGAATAATCATAGAATCGTTCACATTAGAAGAGACTGACTCTCTTGGGGAACCTCCCACTCAAAGCAGGTTCCACACTGAATTTAGACGAAGACTTTGTCTATCCAGCCTTGAAAATAGCTCTATCATTGTTCTTTCCTTTTAGGAGGCAAAGTGATTTTTTTATCTGAGCAGCAGGAAACCTACTTCTGCGTCTTGGTCAGACTTTTGCATAAGAAACGCTTTTATTTCATGAGAGGCCACGACTAGTATCGGTTCAGAGGCCTCTCAGTCCATCTCACCAAGGATCTTTACAGTGATACTATACTAATTGCATGTCTAATGCTTAAAGCTGTTCTCTCACTTACAAGCCTGGTTTGTTGAAGCGTGGCAAACCCAGTCATTATCTCTCTGGTCCTGGATAGCTCACAGAGCTAGAATGGACCAACTCTTCCCTAATAAGGAGGAAGGGTAAGCTCTATCCTTCTTATGACTGTATAGAAAAAGGGCAGCCCCCATCTAAGAACTTTCTCCTTAGATCCCTATAAATGACAAGTTTTCAAGTATTTTTATTCAGTGTTTTTTTTTTTTGAATGAAGTCTTAGTTTAATAGTGTTGCCCTGCAGTAGGGTTTTTTTGTTTGTTTTGGGGTGTTTTTTTGTTTTGCTTTGTATACACTTATTTAACCCATTTTCTTATTTGTGTTCATCCATATATTTCTGTATAGTGCATACAGTTCATTTTGGGATTAGCTATTTTTAAAATAATCAAAACTTGCTTAGCTGAGACTCAACTTTATGTGTACGCCTGTGAAAATCATTTTCTTCATCTCTTAGGTTTGACTGTAGATATGTGTGTGTTTGT